GTCGCCGCGGCAACGCAACCTCTTCGAGGAGCTGTCGACGTCGGCGTCTGAGTCTGAGGTGCCGTGAGCATGGGAGAGGACGCCGGGGGAAGGGGGAGGGGGCGACGCCGGGGAGGGGCGGAGGAGAAAGAAAGGGCAAAGCCGGGGAAGAGTTGAGGAGGAGGAGAGAGGGGGCAACGCGGTGGGAGAAGAGGCGCAGAGGTGCCGTAGGTCGTGCGTCGATCGGGTAGAGAGAGAGAGAGAGAGAGGTGTGTTTCTCGAGTGCTTAGATTCGGACTTGTCGGTTTGTCTCATCGCGCGTCTCGCGCGTCTCGTCTTAGTTAAGGAACCATTTACTGTTAGCTATTCACGCGGGCGACCATCTGAGTGGGCATGCCCGACGACCTCGATCAATTGCATGCGGGTTTAATTTGGCGATTTTTCCGATCGAAGGCGATCGATCGTAGAATTATGTTAAACGAAGACGTCTTCGTTATATATTATTTCGTCGTTCCTGTAATATAGTGTAAATATACCGGCGCGAGGTCCAAGACAATAATGCGTTGGTGTTGCCGAGGTGGCTCAGCAGAAACCAAGAAGTTCAGTTCGTCGGGATTGCAGAATCATTTCTGGTCATCGTGTTATCATGTAAAAGTGAAATGCGTGCATGAATAATGGCGTAATGTGTAGCCTGTACTGTAGGCGGAATCTGTTACTAGTGTGACACTAGTATGTACACTGTGTGTTATGTTGTAGACATAGGTTCTCGTGGTATTCACTGGTACGGGAGCCTGTACAATCAATCGTTGAGCTCTCTCTCTCTGCCAGTAGGATTAGCATACGTTCTAGGCGAGAGCAGTCATTCTATCGAGGACGACGCAGCGTTGTAGTTAAATGTATGTGAAACAATAAATTTAATTTGTATTTGAAACTCGGCTTTCGTGCATTTGCTACTACGAGTCGTCTACATTGCACTGTTTTGCTCTGAACGACAGAACGACAGAGCACAATGCCATATAGATGAGTAACTTTCTCTATACTGAAACTTCCACCTATCGCTCTCAGTTAGCTAATTATAAGGCACCCTTATTCCCTATAATGCAGTAGGGGTTTCACTAGCTACTGTCCTGATACGGTGTTCAAATGTGAGCTGTTTATCGCAAATTCAATACAAACAAGTTACGGTTACAACAACGTTCCATGTAGAACATAATATAATATAAACAACGTAATATTCGCTATAATTGCGTGCGCGCGTGCGGGCGGGCGTTCGTGCGTGCGGGCGGGCGTTCGTGTGTGCGTGCGGGCGGGAGGGCGTTAACGTTCGTGCGTGCGTGTGCGTGTGTATACATTAGATATCATATAAAATAATATAATTCATCTAAAGTTTTCATGCATACCGTCCTGGACTACCAACCCGTTCCCTGGACTCGCTACTGGGGTAATGACGTAGGAGGCAGGTAGTGCAACAGCAGTTTACACTCAGCATACATCAGCCTGTTCTGCTAGCATCTATGACAAATACGACATATACAAATACGCATATACGCTCTCCTATGACACTATTTGTCATAGGAAGATTCTTCCTATGACAAATATTGTTGTATGGGTTGTGCGCATCATAGGAGTTTAGGAGCGCTATTATGAACGCAAGCAGTGAATTTCAGCTGTGAAGCGGAACGAAGTTGACTCGCCAATATTTGTCATAGGAAGAATCTTCCTATCACAAATAGTGACATAGGAGAGCGTATATGCGTATGTCGTATTTGTCATAGATGCAAGCAGAATATGTTGCGTACATATAACGATCCCTGCATGTGCGCGGTACTCGATTTTACTTTTTATTTTATTTATATTTATTTATTTAGGTAATTATCCATAATTATATATATAGCATACTTTTACAATTGAATATATTTTGAATTCATGAAATTGGATAACTACCAAGGATATTATACACAAAAAGTATGACTATAGCACACTCATATTAAAACGCTTACATTTATTAGACTCATTTCATTCTTTTCAAAACCTATGAAGGTTAGCTGAGTAGAAGCTTCGCTCTCCCACGCCAGCAGAGGTTATAAACGTCCGCGTGCAAGAGACCTATATATTATATCACTGCTAAAAAATGATTTTCTTGAAATGAGGAGAAAAATCTGTGAAATAAGATATAAAGTCTTATATTAAGATTATTGATCTTGAAAGTGATGTAGGAAAATAAATCTTGATTCATCTACCCAAGAATACCTATAATATAAACAACCTAAAACAAGAAAAAAGTTTCTTAATTCAAGATTTATTATCTCACAAAATTTCTTAAAACAAGATGTCATACAATCTCAATAAGATCCCTAAAACAACAACGTTTTATGTTATAGGGCCTATTGCAATTATTTAGGCAAGATTATTTATAATATCATAACCTATTATTATAATAACCTATTATTAGCATAACCTATTATTTATATCATAACCTATGAAGGTTAGCGGCCTTCTCCGCCGTCCCCCGCCCACAGAGGTTATGAACGTCCGCGTGCAAGGGACCTAGTCATACAAAAAATTCATCGTAGAATAGTGGGGTGGGCCGTATATCTGCAATAGGAGTTTTTGCAAAATAGAATTAATTAACTCTTGCTGGAATGCGCATCTACTGCTGACCGAAAAGAGCTAGCATTGATTTTGAGCAATAACACGCCGAGATTCCCGCTCCCACAACCTTATAAAACTGTGTGAAAGCAATGTGAAAGCATGGGAGAATCCAGGAATTTTGAAAGGGGGGTGTCCAGAAAGAAATAAAGTGCACTTTTTCCTGCTTAAATTTTCTGGTGTTTTAATAAGCTGCCGAAGGCCCTAGGGGGCCACTTAGGAGGGGTTTGGGGGACCTCCCACAAGAACATTTTTTTAAATTGGTGCATTCTGAGATCATCTGAGCAGTAGTTTTGATGTCTAGAATGCAAGATGAAATTCTAAATTTTTAGCCGAAAATTATCTTTTAATTTTTTAGGGCACTTTGAAATTAAAGGGGGGTCCGGACCCGGCCAAGTTTTCCTAGCTTACGTGACAATATTTAGATTAAACCAGCCAATAGGTGGCGATACATGGCCTAAATGATGATATATTCACATGGTGATTTTATGGACATTACATATGCAGCTGTGTATATGTCACCTTTGATAATTTCCTCGGCCTTTCTCATCCGTTCAAAGTGAAGCCGGGCGGGCCGACAGCACGTGTGCTTACTAAAATCCAATCTATAATACAGTATTCACTTTGCTCGCAGCATCGTATTCCGGGTTCGCATAGGCTAATGTACAGGAAGATGGCGCTCATGCGTCAGTCACCGTTGAGTGCCAAGATTAAGCCGTTTTCATACGTTATCATCGCATAAATCACACCCTCTCTCTCTCTACACCCCCTGCAGGACCGCGCGAGGCAGGCCCTAGCTACGGACGAGCTAGTGTCTGCGCTCGCTAAGCTCAGCGTGCTCAGCCAGCGGATGGTCGAGCAGGCTGCGCGCGAGAAGACCGAGAAGATCATCACCGCAGAGCTGCAGAAGGCCGCCAACAACCCTGACCTGCAGGGCCACCTGCCCAGCGTCACGCAGAGCGCGTTCGGGTACGTGCGCAGCAGGGTAGAGCGGCACGGGGTAATGTGGGAACGCGTGCGGTTTGCAGAGATGCCAACCACTACGATTTATCCGTATTTTATACGAATTTCTATTCCTTTTGCACCACTACGACCAGTTTGTATCAAACTACGAATTTCACTGTGATCAAAAAAAAAATTTATTGTCATTTTTTACCCTCACAATGCAGGAAATTGCATCTCAGAATCAAAAAAATTTCCGGGGGCATGCCGGACCCCTCTAGCAAACTTGGGTCACGTACTAATTTGATAGCCAGAAACTACCGATTGCTTCAAATATGTGTTGGCATCTCTGGGTTTGCATGACAGACGTGCGTTGCGATAGACGCGCGTTGCGATAGTCGCGCGCGTCAGAATATACTGTTGCGTAGTGGTAATTGCAATGCAGTCATTATTATAATATAGTATGTTATTATGTATGTTACATATAGTATGTAATTTGAAAGGTGGTCGGTGTGCGTGGTCAGTGTACGGTTACGTAGTCGTAGTTGCAATGTAATAATTATAGTTATAATGTAATAATTAATAATAAGTATGTAATGTGCAGAGTGGTAGGTGCACACGTCATTGTACAGTCATGTAGTGGTAATTCCAATTTAATAATTATTATAAATATATATGTAATGAGCAGTGTGATAGGTGGTGGATGTGCACGTCACCGTACGGTTATGTAATGGTAGTTATAATAATAATATAATATGTAATAATTAAAATAAATAAATAATAATATATTTTAATTATAATTATAACATAATAAATATAATAGGGATGTAATGTGTGCATCCCCGTGTGTGCGTCTGCGTTGCAGCATGGAGGAGGGATTGGCCCGAGGAACCGCGGCAGCGCGGCGATGACCGCGTCGCGGCGGGAAGTGTCATCTGAGATCGTCATCCTCCAGCATCCGATCCCTACTTCCACCCCCGCAAGGCCACGCAGCCAAACCTCAGCCGCAGTGAACGTCGTGCCGTCGCCGACTTCCGCGGCCGTCCGACACGGCACGCCTACGCCGACAGCTTACAGCAGGCACCTGCTCGCGAAGACTGCGCTGCTCGTCGGCTGACCCTCGATGGCGGCGGCAGCGAGCACTGGCGCTACTTCGACGGCGTCGAAGGCGGCAGCGGGTGATGTTTTGCGGGCTGATTGCCGCGGAGACAGGTTTCACGAGGCGGTGGCGGGTGATATGCGGCGCTCTCCGACTCGACACACGACTCATGTTTTCAGCACGTCTTTCTTATCCGTACTGGTCTTGTTTGATACTCATGGCTGCTAATAATTAATTAAAGTAATTATTATATTAAGCAATTGATAATAATAATTAATAAATTCGAAAAATTGTTACGAGTGAATAATAATAATAGAGAGATAGTTAAGTACAAAAAAAACCTGCCGAATGTTCTAGCAGAGTTGTATTTGTTATCATAGCGGGATGCTTGCACCTCTATACGTGGCGTAGCTTCTCGATATTTCCTGAGGGTTTCTACCATTCTCCAACGTCGTCTTCACAGTCTCCTCTAGGTCGCCTCTCGCAGAAACATTGCTCGCGGAAGTCGCCAGCTCGTTGCCACGGCAGTGGAAGGCCCCACCCTGGAGCTGTCGCGGGTGGGACGAGCACCAACTGTGGTGGCTCATGATGGAGGTGAGCGTCCCATTTATTAGCACGACGGGAAGGGGTGTTCCGGGGTTCGGGAGCAACCGAGGGGTGGCGGTGTGAAGAATTTATGGTGAGTGTGGTTGTCATGCGGCGAGTAATTGTAATGGGACATATTTGGACTGATTCGTGTAAGCGAGTGACGCTCTCATGTCACTCGTTACTCGTAATCGTCGAAACATGTCAGGAGACGCGCAGACGTTTTCCAATGTCGATCCATCGATCGGCAGATTATAATGATCTTATCACATTAATCTTATTGCGAGACCATTTACCGCCGATCGGAGAGTTATTAAGTTATGAATACGAGGTCCCAAACGATCGCGCCACTCTGGCCCACTCCGCG